GGCTGGGGAACGGGGCTGGGGTGGGATAGGGGGGGGGTCACCAGGGCCCTGTTTGCGCCAGGGAACCCCTCCCAGTGCCCAGCTGGCAGTGCCAGGAGACCCCACGCTTGCCAAAACCACCCCAGCCATCACAGCCATGGCAAGGACACCCTCCCAGATGGAGCAGGATGAATGCTGGGGAGCCTGGGCTGGTGTCTCTCCTGCTCCCCATGCCCACCATCCCTCCTCTGCCCACCCGCAGGCACCAATCTTAGCCCCTGAAGGTGCCCCCTCCCCACCCAAGCCGTCCTGGAGCTGGGGGCTTGGTACCCAGGACCCTGGGGACTCGGTGGCAGGGGCTGACACGGAGCAGTTGCTCCTGGCTCCCCGCTCGGTGCTCGGGTCACCATCCCAGCTGCCCAGCATCAGCCTGACTTTACGGAAAGGCTGTGGGAAAGTGGAGCTGCTCCTACCTCTGCCCTGTGCCCCCCAGCCCTCCCCACAGCTGAACATGGAGCAGGGAGATGCACCCTGTCCCGGATCCGGCCACCTCCTCACCCTTGAGGTCTGTCAGCGTCTCCCCCAGCTGCTTGAGCACCACCGCCTTCTCCTCCAGCTCCTGCACAGGGATGAGCCGGTGGTTGTGGGCCAAATCCTTCTGGATCTTCTCCACCGACTTCTCCAGGTCACTGTGAGCACAAAGGCAGGGCAGGGGCGTCACCGCGATGCTGGGGACCCCGGCGGTGGCCAGCATGGCAGGTCCCCGTGCAGCAGAGGGGAGAGGACCACGGGGCTGGGGACCCCTCCTCATGCTAGACACGTGGTCGAGGACATGACCTAGCAGCGTGCAGAGCTGCTGGTTTACACCCATGGAGGTCAGCATGCGAGGACCCCCTGCCCACCCATAGACCCAGCCCCGGCTCACTTGAGCTGCTGGGTGATGAGCTCCTCCTCGTTGAGGTACCGGAGCCGTTCCTCTTCCACCAAGCTGCGCTGGCGCTGCAGGGGGTCCTCGTGCTTGCGCATGGTGTCCGTCACCCGCACGCTGATCTCCGCCTCCGTCCGCCGCAGCATCGTCTTCACCGTCTCCTGGTTCTGCAGCTGCGGGGATGAGGAGGGGGGATTCAGGCTGGGCAAGGTCCCCCCCTCGGACGGGGACCGGTGGGGCCACTGCTGGGGACAGCTCTGAGCTCAG